CTTTGAAGTTGTTTTTCCAGTTTGGTTGTCATTGGCCATGTTTCTGCACCATATAACAACACCGGACGTATCACAGATTTATAAAGTCTTGATCGTAGTGGTAGTGGGATGTCACGCCGCATCAATATAAAGGCAAGGAGATGCCATTTATTCCAGGCTGCGCGTATGCGTGCTCGGACGGCAGCTTCAGCTGTTCCAGTACAATCCAGAACATCCCCTAGATATTGAAACGATGTGACTTTTTCTATTTTACTGGCTTCAAAAACAGTGCTATTTCGAATTTGTTGTTGTGGATTGATGCAAGCAGGACAAACAAAATTGGACACTTCAGATAAAGTACCAATTATTTTTGAACAACGTTTGTGACACCACTGGTTACACTGCTGACACTTCATTGAATTGTTAACTACACCAGCTTTACAAACTGAACAGGGCCATCGTCCAGTAGTTGTGGATTGGATGAGTTCACCAGTGTTCATTGCTTTGGTTTTGCTGATGTTGACTTTGAATTCATGATCGGTGAGTCTGGTGTTCCAATCTTCAAACATCCGTCCTGCATTCTGCTCAGACGTGGCTGTTAAAACGATATCATCAGCATATACTAGATTCCAAATGTCACCAGTGCGTATCGGTTTTGTGATTTCTTCCATCACAGTTATAAATAACAGTGGACTGAAAATCGAGCCTTGATGAACTCCAACGCCGATGTCAAATGCATCTGTGTTTCCAACCGTTGTGCTGACAAGAGTTTTAGTATTCGTATACATTTCCATCACAAGTCAAACAAGATATTCTGGAATGAGTTATCGAAAAGACTCCACCTGATTGCTTCACGGGGAACTCGATCAAATGCTTTTTCGAGGTCTACAAAAATGTGTGATAGTTGTTGATGCTTTGCGAGGTACTTCTCTTGCAGTTGCCGAAGGATGTGAATTGCATCAATTGTTGATTTCCCCGCTAGAAAACCAAATTGATAATTTCCGATTGTGATGCACGACGTTAATCTTCTCTCAATGTTTTTTTCGACAATTTTCAGGGAGTGTTCTAACAGACGTATACCCCGATATGAGGAACAGTTCAATGAATCACCTTTGCCTTTGTATAGCGGGACTGTCATGCTATAGTTCCATTCAGTCGGCATGGAGCAATTTCTCCAGATTTCACGGCACAGTTGTAGTAACGTTTGGATACCTGCAGTACCAGATGCTTTGATAATGTCATTTGTGAGTCCAGAGGGCCCTGCTACCTTTCCATCCTTCATAGCTTTCAGAGCTTCTGTAAGCTCCTCTACAGTGATGTCTGAAATCGGACCTTCGATGGGTGGAGCGTCAAAGTAAACATTGATGGGATTTGTTTCGTTTAACAGACGGTTGAAGTATTCTTTCTCTCCACTGTAACTTGATCTCATCTTGTTCAAGAACCATCTCATTTTTGTCGTTTTTGATACATAAGGCACCAACTATGTCTTTTTTCATACGTTTTGCTTGTTTTGCTATACGACACAGATGTTTCATTTGTACACCTTTGCTTTTAGTGAGCCACTCTCTGCACTGATCTGTCCGAGCCAGTGCAACTTGACGTCTTGCATTGTTGTTCTTCTCACGGAAAATTTTATGGACATCAACAGATTTGATTTTTGCCATTGCTTGTAAGCAACTTTCTTTTCAGCTATTGCATTTTGTACACTGTCATTCCACCACCAAGTGTCACGTTCATGCTGACGTTTTGTACCAGTTTTCCCACAAACTGTAGTTGCAGCGTTCATCAAAACGGTTTTGTATGTACTCCAATCTGTACTGGTTTGCGATTGGTGGTCTAACTGTGTGGCGACAATCTGTTGAAATTTTTCTCGATAAATATTGTTTATCAGCTTCCACGTTTTGATTCTCCGAGGCATTTGTTTAGACTTATGTTTTGACAGTTCGACAACCAGGTCTGCCACAAGGAGTCTATGTTGGGCGACACATGATTCGCCAGATATACCTTTGACGTTTTTGAACAGCCTTCGGTGTGGTTGCTTGACAGCGAAGAAATCAATTTGCATGGCTGATGGTCCACTTTTGTATGTTATGAGATGTTCCAACCTCTTTCTAAAATATGTGTTCAGTAAACAAAACCCGTGACTTTCAGCAAACTCAAGGATGGGGTTGCCATCTTCATTCCGCTTTCCATAGCCAAAACCGCCATGTACGTTGTCAAAACCATCTGTTTTCTCTCCAACGTGGCCATTGAGATCGCCTGCTGGGGACTAGGGGCCGTTGTTTTTCTTTGTGATGGCATAGGAATAAATTATAAATTATTAATAATAATAATAATAATAATATTTTTTAACGTTGACGTTTTGAACATGACATCCCACTATAGGAAGGTTATAAAGATGTCGTTGAATTTTACTTCCCGTCGCGGAACTGGTCGAAAAATTTCTGGAAAAAGTGTATTGAGCATCATACCTTTTTTAGATGTCACACAGTTCATAAAGTACCGCGAAGCAAAACCAAAGTCATAAGCCACGGATCGTCATTTAGGTTGGCTTTACTGTTTTGTTATATATCACATGATTTATGAATCAATTTCATTTATACTCTTATTGTGTGCAAAATTACGAAACTTCAATTTGATTTTTATTTGTTTGTCCTGTCTATTGGTATTAAATTCAACAGGTATTCTGGAAGAACCCAAAAAGAACTGGTTGATTTTGCTAGAGAGAAAAGTATCAAACCTGTTCCTTTTGAAAGGTAGTTTGTATCTTGTATCTTTTTTTAGTGATCTGCCTAGAGGCAGGTTTGTAGTCTCCATCCATCTAACCCAACTTTTCTATTTGGCTCGGTTTTCTTTTTTCCACTTCACAAACTGATATGACCAGTGGTCTATGAGATCATCTATGAAAAACTTCTACCCTTTGGTTTCTCTTTTATTTTCCATTCAATGACGTTTATGAATATGAATTTACGACTCATTCATATCTTCTTTCTGGCTCTGTTTGTTTCCTGGAATGACCTTGTCTCATCACCAAAGCTGTTCTTCATTTCTGTGATACTCCATCCAACTAATTTTCTGCATCTTCTGCCTAGTCCACATTTTGATTGCTTCTAATTTTCTTGTGTCTTCCTTTGCGAGGGTCCAGGTTCCCACACCATGAATGCTGTGTTAAGAAGTAATCAATCTGTTACTTCAATCTCATTTTGATATTGATATTAAATTTCTTTAACAATATTTTTTTAGCATTTGCTATTCTTATAATTTTTTTGCAACTTCCATCTTCTGTCATATTACTACACAAATATTTAAATTGTAATACTTATTCCACTGTTTCACCATTTAACCACAAATTAACTTTTGTTTTTTCCAAATTGATTTTCATTCTATATTTTTTTGTTATTTCATTTCATCATTTTATGAAAACCATTATTATAGCTTTGTTGTCAGCAAATCTGGCTGATTTAACTAGAATGCTTCCTTTTTCTATCTCTTGATTGATTACTTTTTAACTCTCTTTGTTCTGTCTTGTATCTTTCCTAATGCAGCATTTTTCAGTTATCCAATCGTTGGATTCAATTTTCTTTTTAGATAGGCATGCATTTCTTTGTATTGAAAATTTGAATGTACTGTGAACGTACTATGTTCTTTTAAACGTACACTATACTCTCAATAATTTTGTTAAATATTTTTACGTCCTTAACGTTGAACATTTTGGTTGAATTTGTCAAGTTTAGTGTTGTTTTGATGAATATGACAACAACACTGCAGGACGACGAGTATGAGGACCATGTCAGCATTGCAGAGCAGAACTGGCAGTCCGAAAACTGGCACTTTAACATCTCGGGATATTGGTTTCTTCCACAATCACAATCCAGTGATGTACAACACTCAGTCATATGATAGAAGGCAACATCCACACAACTACATGCAGCAACAACAATTTCAACATTTTCAATCTGATGCTCAATCTGAAAGGGGCATACTTGAATCAGCTTTAAAATCATATCAACTACCTTCATTACATCATCAACAACAACCGATGTTATCGATGCAACAGCAACAGACACCCAACGAAATGACTTATTCACATGATCAGGAAAATATAAATGCGTTACAGATGTTGGATGGCACAAATAGTTGGAGGGTTGCTCATGGTCTTCCACTTAAATTAGATGCTGACAAATGTGTGTGACATATTTATTTTTTGCATTTTCTGATATTTTTTAGCCTCATCTGAATCAGACTTTCTTTCTGTGAATATTTTCATCCCAGATACATAAAAATTACACATCTAATTATTCACTAACTACCCAAATATGTTTAAAAGTGTTGCTTTTATTTAACAAAATTAAAAACTTGTTATTTCATTTTCGACATTTTTATCAACATCACTTTATCAAATAATTTCTTAGTATTTGCTTCATTAATGAATTATAAAAATGTATTAACGTGAAAGTAATTAGATCTTCTTACTTTTAAATTTTCTGTTATCTAGCTTCCAACGTTTATACAAGTCAGTCCAGGATCGATCCATCTCAATTCATGCTTGGCAGATTGCCTGTTCGAGCGTCTGAACCACTTTTGAATGACTCGCCTCAACATTTTGCTGGACAGGTAACTGAAGAGGCTCATTTATCACGAACTGAAGAAGTTGAAGATATACCTGTTACAGTTGAAGACAATGTTTCGTTTATGCAACAACATGACACCAATCGAAATATCTCACTGAGGTTTTTTCTTACATTTTGATTTTAAGGGTAAATTAATGTTATGTTTGTTTGGCTGTCATAGGCTGAATGAAATTTTTTAAAGTCTGAAATTCATTTATAAGTGATTAAATAAATCAGTTGATAATTAGTTATAAATAAAAAATAAAGCAATTTTAATATTAATTTTAATAACAGAATTTTAATAGCAGATTTAGTTACTTGAAGATTTTGTACCATTAAATGTGTCGCTAATTTTTGTTGAATATTCAGAAATTTTTTTTTTTTTAGAATTTTTTAGGCAAAAAAATGAGCTGGTGACCCAAAACAATGCTTGTTGGGCCACCAGAGGCATTGTTGGTAAAGGTTAAAAAGTTAACGGTTGCTCTCTCTCTTTTGTGTTTCCTTCAGAGGTTTCAACGACAAACACACACAGCGTATATGTATACGCGTGCAAACCACGCATCATACACATTGCATATGATAGGGATCTCTTTGTATTCGAACCCAGTCATTGCAATAGCAAGACCAGGCGCCTTTTACCATTGAGCCATCACGCCGCCCCGCTAAAGGGTACTTGGTAAAGCTGAACTACAACAATTTAAAATGTTGCGGTATTAAATTGGAAATTAATAATTAATATATTTATATAGATTAGTAAAAATTGGTGCTGACAACTGTTTCAGTCTCAGACAGAAATAAAATTTTTGTACAAGCGACTAGTTTTTATAGCAAAATTTTTTAAAAGTTGTTTGAAAAGCAAAAAAGTTGCAATTTTTTAAAATATACGAGCCCCGCTCAAATATTTAATGAAGATAAAAAATTATGAGTGTCAGATTTGTATCTGTGTTTTGCTTCAGCCAACATATTGATCAGCTTTGTGTTTTGATCTTTAGTCAAATCATGCCTTATTGCTATTGTGTTCTGATCTTTAGTCAATCATGCCTTATTGCTATTGTGTTCTGATCTTTAGTCTTTATTGCTATTTTACTTTATTATGCGTGCTCGAACGGCAGCTTTAGCTGTTCCAGTTCAATCCAGAACATTCCCTAGATATTGAAACGATGTGACTTTCTCTACCTTATTGGCTTCAAAAACATTGTTATTTCGTATTTGCAATCCACAACAAAAAATTCGAAATAGAAGCCATTTTTGAAGCCATTAAGTCACATTGTTTCAATATCTAGGGGATGTTCTGGATTGTACTGGAACAGCTGAAGCTGCCGTTCGAGCACGCATACGTGCAGCCTGGAATAAATGGCATCTCCTTGCCTCTATATTGATGCGGCGTGACATCCTACTACCACTACGATCAAGACTTTATAAATCTGTGATACGTCCGGTGTTGTTATATGGTGCAGAAACATGGCCAATGACAACCACACTGGAACAACAACTTCAACGAACCGACATGGAAATGCTCCGATGGATGCAACGAATTAGTCTAAAGGACCACATCAAATCTACCGAAAACCTGCGTCGTGCTGGTTTAGATGATATAAAGGACGAATGCCGGCAACACCGTCAGCGGTGGTTTGGTCATGTCAAACGAAGTGGAAACAGTGCCATAACTTCTCTTGCAGATGTTGAAGTACCTGGCACACGTCCCTCCCAAAAGCCGTCCAAAGAAGTCCTGGTCGCAAACAATCGAGCAAGACATGAAAGCTCTAAATTTAAATAAAATGGATACAACTGATCGTCTAGTTTGGCGCAAAAAGTTGATGGCAAAGAAAACAACGTCTTACCTTGGGGAACCGGGTCTCTGGACGCAAAACGAAGATTGATTGATTGATTGATATGAATAATTATATGTATATATATATATATATACATATATATATATACATATACATATACGTTGGTAATAGGCCATAATTTTTACAATATTCTATAAATTCTACCGAACGTTTAATGTTGGTAATAGACTATAATTTTTACAATATTCTATAAATTCTACCGAATGTTTATATTTTGGTAGAATTTATAGAATATATATACATATATATATATATATATATATTAATTAATTAATTTATTTATTTATTTATATCCCAGCCCTCTCCATCATAGCGTTAGTGATGCGGCCGTAAAGAGTAGAGGAGTTATTGAGACATCAGTGGATGATTTGTTACCTCTTTATTCACCTGGACATATTGAAGTGGACGAGTTTGTGTCATCACCGAGGAGACTGCCGGCCACTAACGACCACAAACTTAACAACGGTCTTTTTATTATTTTTATACTGTTATGTCAGTTTAATTAACGCTTCTCTGGGATATATTAAAGATAAATTTGAACGCTTTAGACCACTGAAACATATTTTTTATTGCGGTAACATTATAACGATAATAATAATAGTTTATTATTAAAGGGAGCGAATTGAACGTTTTTTTGCATTGACAGAATTTACGTACCAAATCTCATTCTAAAAAACTTTGAACCTGACAGTTGAATGATAAATTTGCTTATGGAATTAATTTGTTTTAATTCATTATCTACGTTTTGATGAGTTTAAATTTGACATTACTCTCTTCATGGTCTCATGAATGACAAATAGATTAGTGATGCAAGGTTTAAGGTTTTAGATGGAAAAAAGTAGATTTATATTATAGTTAGAAATTGATGCGGAGATTGATCACTCTGAATAGTCCAAAAAAGAATGTTGTTGAATGTATCACAAATCACATAGGGCAGATTTTCAATTTTATCCTAATTAATGGTGTTTTGAGATGGTGCAATCGAACTTTCAGAAAAACCTCATACTCCCAACTCTAACACACTGCCTATAAAAGAGCCTTAAAATGTTTAGAATGAACATACTTAAAAGCGTTTATGGTGACAACAGTTTAACAAACTTATAAACTGAAGTTATATTTTTCCAACTCAACATTTTCACAGCATATTTGTTGATGTTTCAAAGAAACGAATATAATAGTATATATTTGTAAACAAACAGGTTAAGACACAGGGTAGTCTCAATATTGATGGACAGTACATAATATTTATTTTGACTTTTACATACAATGATATTTACATGACATTCGTCACATCGGCAATTAAGTTTAAATGTTAAACAATTGCTTATGATATTGCACAAACACCATTGTTTAGACATACAACTGCTCATCCATTTATAGACCACCAGGGTAAATAAATTCATAATTAATCTAAAGTAATAAATTTACATTTTATGCAGGTGGGAATTACTCTGCGAAAGAGTTTCAACCTCAAGATTCGATCCAGCAACTTCCTGCCAATAATGTTGTTTATTCACCCGAAGGATTGAACTTGTCTGTTGATCCACAAGTCTCACAACTCAACAAATTAACTTCATTATCACTGGCTGCTGAGTCGTGCAGTGATGATGAAGCCAAGAAAAAAGCAAATGTCTGTTAACTTTTTTCAATTTAATTTCATTACCTTTTATATTTGATTGGTATGTATAAGTTGTTTTACTAGAGTTACTGACGTATATTCATATTTAAATAATTAGCCTGCATTTCTGAGTTATTATTTGAGTTTTTTAAATAAAAAATTAACTACACAACAAACAGAAAGTTTTTGTGGATGTGCATTTTTATCTTGCCAAAGAATTCCTCATGACTGAAAGAACTTACAAAAAGGATTTGAATGTCATAACATTGGTTGGTTGCTTTTGTTACTCTTTTAAGCATCTCCGTTGGATTCAAACGAAATTATTCAAAAATAAAATCCTCAACCATCAGTGGTTTAGAGAAGCAATGGAACATGAAGAAACGATGCCCGACTACTTGACTTCTCTATTCTTCAACACTATATTTCCAATTAGTGAGTTCCACAGCCAGTTTTTGAAACAACTTGAAGAGAGAATGATGGCTTGGCAAGTGTTATTTTTAATATATATATAACTTTGTATCTACTGACTTTATAGCAAATAATTGATAACATATTTATTGGTGAAAATTATTGTTGTTTATCACCACTATCTATTAATGAAGAAAGAATAATTACACCAAATATTTTTTGAAATCATTAACCATTTGAGTTTGAAACTGCCCTTACATTTTAAGAGACATTGAAGAAAAGTTTATTACAATTTTCATTTTGGATAGACGTTATCGATGATTTATTTTTTTATGTGTGTTATGTTTAGCTTAATAAATTTTACAACTCTGAGATAAAACATATTGTATTTCAAATTTTTTAACGTGCAATATTTATTAATATTTTTATAGATTTTTATTTTTCTTCTTGTTAGAATTCGTAATATATTACTTCGTTTTTTTTAAATTAGTTAATTTTAGAATAAATGCAATGAATTATTCACTAATATAATTTAAACACAATTTTTATGCTAATGATTATTTAAAAAAAAATGCGGACCATTTTCTTAGTAATACGGTTCGCATTATATATACACATACCATAGGCACCTTAAATTAAGGACTGACGGCGCTCATGCTCAGTATTTCAAACTTGGTTTCATCGCGAAACTTTGGTTCATTTTTGCGTAAAGGTCAAACCACTTCACCATATAACGATATAAAGGAAATTTTCGTGACGGAAAACCAGCTATGAAGATGACTTTGTCTTTCGATGTGACATCAGATTACAAGAGTAATTCTGTGTCGTCAATGCTGATATTAGCAACACATTCAATGTACACATCTTCAGGAATATGGTTGCAAAATGAAAACCAGGTACTACATCAAACTTTGTTAGTTGTTAGCGGGCAGAATGCTGTGATATCAATGCAGAAATGTCTACCGCTTTTTTTAAAGATCTTGAACAAATGCTGAAGGCAGCACTTACTGGAACTGATGATAGGAAAGCAGTACCTCAGCAGCAACAATGTTGAATTTAATCGTCGCTACAAATGCATCAGCTGTAAAATTTTGGAGCTTGCATTGTCGTACAACAGGCCCATTACGACAGCTTGCAATGACGTCACACGTGCCTAAGAGTTCTGAAAGTTGTCACACTGAAGCAGCCATGGTGTTCTGGTGACGTCACGATGTTTTACACCACTGTACCGGTCTTTGATATTCATCATCTTAAACCACGTGGTTGCAAGATTTACGAGATGTATTGTGCCTTTTTCTACGTTTCTACGTGCAGTTTTTCTTTTAAGGTTGATAACGCTGCTATTGTCTTTTCATGAAAAACTTAACATACCAAAGGTACACACACACTGACGTAGCAGGATTTTGGGATGAACTGATGTGTAAGTTTTATGAGATGTACAACTGTCAATCTGTTTTTTCCTCACTAGGCTATCACGCCAGTGTGCAACGAAACTGACCATGTCCAGTGAAATGTAGATCTTATTTTGGCTCAGTGACCCAATTATTTCGAATGTTTTTGCACATTGTCTTATACAAAGAACGCTTTTATAACATGGCCAGGAAGATTTACCGGTCCTGGGCCACCAAAGTTGTTGTACAGTGATTGATTTATTGACAATTGTCAAACACTATAGATACAATTCATCCACTGCTTTTCACAACAGATTCAACGGCTTCAAACAAATAACACTGAAGTTGCTTTGCATCAAGATCAGTTTACAGGAATGGCACGAATGATAAAACGAGGTCCACCATAATGGCAAATTACCTCAAAACATAATGCAGATGTAGAGATTTGAACTGGGGCATCTTGTGCATACCCAATATGGACATAAACAGAACAGAAACAGATCAGAACACGGACAAAACTGAACACCAATAAAACAGAATCTTCATTTTTTGACTTTATTTATACTTTTATTTATTTATTTGTAATGGTAAGCGATAAAGCTGTTTTATCATTGTTCTGTTATATCCTGTTCTGTTTTATCTTTTACTATTTTATCACGGAATCGGTAGTTTGTGACATTAAAGTTTAAATTTCACAAAGACATAAACAAAGAAAAGCCATCAAATCTCACTTGCAATCAACACATGCAACTCCAATAACCCGCCAATTTCTTGACGACAACACAAAAATAATTTATCAAAACACCAACATAAAAATTGTAGAAGCTGTTCTAATAGATATCAATAAACTCCAAATAAACATTTAACAAAGAATGATAACATCATTACAAACTCGACGCCTTAATACTAACTTCAATAACAATGAAGAACAAAGGAATGACAATAACAAAGATGAAGAATACGACACCAACTAGAAAACTTTGTTAAAGAATTTTGCATTGTTTAACGAAACTATATAAACCAAACCTGCATTAAAGATGATTTATGAAAAATCGAAATAAGGTCTTATTTGCATGATGAATTTGGATAACAATAGTTTCATAAAATTTTCATGATGAACTTGCATAAATATTCTATTTTCAACAAATTGAACAATTTCCAGAAAATTCTATTAAGGAAAATTGAAAAGACAAACTAAATTGATTATGTATGTACAGTTATTAAGAAATATACGACAGTCTGAACCCAAAAATATATTTTTGTTTATATTATATTATATGTATATAAATATATATATATATATAGGCGCATGCGTAAAAGACCCTTATATTACAGTATGAATATTTATTATGTTTTTAATCATTGCTGAAAAACATCCTGTGTGAAATAAGCATCCTTAATAATGCATCCAATCTTTTCATATAATAATACCAACGTTTAAATTTATTAATTTAGTCTCAATTTTGGAAGGAGCCATTTTAATTAAAATGTCTAAATTATTCTGCCAAATGAGCATGTTGTAAATCAAATCATAATTGTTATAGGAGGTTTGATTTTGTATGTTTTGAATCAAAATCCTTGATATCTCTAGACTTATAAACAAATTAATGTTATCTTCGTTAAATCAAATTGAAGTTTTAATGCTACAATATAGCTTTTGTTTCCAAAATGTTAATTCAATAGACTTTTAAAATGGTGTATTTTTTAAATAATTATTTACTTAAATTTTTTGTGAGAATCGGCGTTTTTAATCCAAGTCATTTTCATCTCAACCGTTTTAGAATGGTTGAAAAGTTATATGAATGTCAAGATGATGTTGATTGTGAAAGGTCACAATATAATTTTCTTCTAGGGAAAGCAAATCAATGTCAACTAGTAAAGATCAGAAAAGGATTGGTGATCTGTTGTTGGGTCTGATAACTTCATTTGAAGTTAGATTATTTTGCCGTTTACTTTCAGTTATCTTCTTTGTAATATTTAAATGTGATGAATGTTTTATCAAGAAGCTAGAAGTTGTGTGTATGGATTTATATCAATCACTGTTCTTTTTGGTGGTAACATAAAAATTGGGTTTTGCCTTGTACTTTTTAAGAAGCATAATTCCAGCAATTTTTATTGTTATGAGATTATTGTTATAATTTATAAAGGATATATTTCATGAATATGCTTCATTTTGTTAATAATGTTAATAATTTACTCAAACTATCAACGAAAATATGCTTCCCTCTGTATCGTTTTCCTCATCTTCTGCTCGCTGTATCATTCTCATCACCTCCTTCTTACTGCCCTCTGTATCATTCCCATCATCTCCTTACTGCCCTCTGTATCATTCCCATCATCTCCTTACTGCCCTCTGTATCATTCCCATCATTTCCTTACTGTCTTACTGTCTTCAATATCATTCTCATCATCTAATTCTTACCGTCCTCTGTATCATTCTCATCATCTCCTTCTTACCTCTCTCTGTATCATTCTCATCATATTGTTACTGCCCTCTGTATCATTCTCATCATCTCTCTTATGCTGCTTTGTGCTGCTTTGTATATTATTCTTTCTTCTTTATATAGTTTTAATATAAAGGATTTTCACCAGTATAAATGTTTGCAGTTATACAAGAGACATTTTGAATGTCAGCAGCGCATTATGATCGAGTTGGATTCTTCCATGCAACAGTATGAAAATTTTGAAAAAACAGTTAATGAGTTTGAGGCTGAAAAGGTAATTCTTGTTTTATCATCACGTTTATAGTTGATTTACCATTTCATTTTTGCATTGACACTTGAAAGAGAGTTTGATTTTGAGGTTTATGGTGTTGCAATGAAATTAAACATAATGTTTTATTCAGCTGGTAAAAATAGCCCATACTACATATACGACCAGGAAAAAAACTTAATATAATTTATCGACAAAGCTGCATATAAATACATTAATAAAGTTTCTGCCATGTTTCTGCACCATATAACAACACCGGACGTATCACAGATTTATAAAGTCTTGATCGTAGTGGTAGTGGGATGTCACGCTGCATCAATATAGAGGCAAGGAGATGCCATTTATTCCATGCTGCACGTATGCGTGCTCGGACGGCAGCTTCAGCTGTTCCAGTACAATCCAGAACATCCCCTAGATATTGAAACGATGTGACTTTCTCTATTTTACTGGCTTCAAAAACAGTGCTACTTCGAATTTGTTGTTGTGGATTGATGCAAGCAGGACAAACAAAATTGGACACTTTAGATAAAGTACCAATTATTTTTGAACAACGTTTGTGACACCACTGGTTAAACTGCTGACACTTGATTGAATTGTTACCTACACCAGCTTTACAAACTGAACAGGGCCATCGTCCAGTAGTTGTGGATTGGATGAGTTCACCAGTGTTCATTGCTTTGGTTTTGTTGATGTTGACTTTGAATTCATGATCGGCGAGTCTGGTGTTCCAATCTTCAAACATCCGTCCTGCATTCTGCTCAGACGTGGCTGTTAAAACGATATCATCAGCATATACTAGATTCCAAATGTCACCAGTGCGTATCAGTTTTGTGATTTCTTCCATCACAGTTATAAATAACAGTGGACTGAAAATCGAGCCTTGATGAACTCCAACGCCGATGTCAAATGCATCTGTGTTTCCAACCGTTGTGCTGACAAGAGTCTTAGTATTCGTATACATTTCCATCACAAGTGGAACTAGATATCAGCATATAATCTAGCAACAAAATTAAACAGAAATATTGTTTTTCTTTACAACTCAAGCACAAATGCGGTTATAGTTGCTACAAATAGTAAATGAAAACATTTGTGGCACTGTCATTAGGAACCTCCGCTTATCCCATTGTATTAAGGCGTCGTCTTCTCTTTTTCCTTATTTTTACGTACTTGTCTTTCTGTCATCTTATCATGTGATGTTTCATTTTACAATTTTACTTCCGATGCACTTAGTCAGCTGATATTTTCAATGCAGGTGTATTTTGTGATAAGCTATCCAACAAATGTATCCTATTTCATGAGCTTCGTTTAAATAAAATTTTATTCAATTTCTATTGAATAGTTGAATTCTCGAAATTGGTATCGGTTATGGTTGTTATGGGTACGCGTCTCGTAGATTCGAATTTTGTTAAAAATCATTTTTCGGACTACTTACTTTTAATTTATTTCAAAACATTTTTTTAAATTAAAATTTTTAAAAGTTGCAATCGTTATTGAACTAAAATTTTTGCAGTTGCGATAATTTAAATTGCGAACTTGCTGGGCTGCTTGGTCAAACCAAACCTAAGTCACAAAAAAAGAGAACGCCCTTAGAAGTAGCACCAGCACCTGAAGAATTGATGTTACGTAATAGAACCACAATGTCCAAGCGGCAGTCAAGGGATTGGAAAAATATCGGTTTTCAAATTTCACAAATTTTTTCAAAATAGCATGTTTTTTAAAAATTTTTCCAAATAAAATTATATTTAAATTAAAAGAAAAAACTCAAAAAGAAAAAGCTCTGAAAGTTGACTAGTTGATTAATACAAAAGTTAAATGTTATTCCCATAAAACGCTCAACAGAAGTAACGGGGTTATATAAACATCACTATTTGAACATTCAACAAAAGAATAAATTGAAGAAGAATTGGAAGAACAAGGAGTTATTGGCATGTTCAACATAAAAATTACAAAAAATAATCAGAAATTAAACACCAGCGCCTACATAATAATTTTTCAAAACCTCTCAAATGGGTAGAAATGAAAGTGAGCTATCAAAATTTGAAAATAGAAAAATACATTCCATTACCGATGCGTTTCATAAAATATGGTCATCACCACAAAATTAGCAAAAGTAAGGAAACCATATGTGCAAAGGGTGGAAACCCAAGACACCAGCACACATGGGAATCTCTATGTCAAAACATGGCTAAATGCTATCACTGCAAACAGAGGCACGAAACATTTTCCAAAGAATATCAAAAATTTAAACTAGAAAAGGAAATAATTTAAAAAAATGATAACGATATATCATTTAATCAAGCCAAAATTCAAATCGCACAGAAAAATAAATCAATATATTCACAAATGATCAAAATATCCTAAGGTCAAACAAAGGCATCCAATGCGATCTATTAAAAATACCATTTAATGTAAGTATAGAACAACAAAAAAAAGAACAGACTAACCAACCAACCAATTACTCCCACAATGTTCCTTGAGCGCACAAATACATCATCTACAAATGACTTAGCTATAATATTTCCAGTCTTGTTTGAAGATATTAATGTAAGGTAGAGGAGGATCTCCATGGTATTGATCATTTTCCAACAAATTATGAATGGAAGACAGTAAACCAAGCACAAATCAGAAAATCACAACCAATTCAAAAAACAAAACAGATAAACAATAAATCTTCCAATTCAAAAGAAAATATGAATGAAAGCAAAGATCGATTTGTGCTTCTCAGTGATAGTGACATGGATGATGACTGCTTCAATGATGCGAGTGAAGATGATAAAACATACTAGTGATAGTAATTTAAAATCAATCAAAAGTAAAAACTCCATCAGAGGTAAACATGGCTTGTAACAAAAAAGATATAACAAACAAAATAAATAGTAAAATTGAACTCAACATAAGAAACAAAAACAATGTAACAAACAAAATGACTTTTATGAAGACTATTCAAATGAAAATGTCAATAACGACATCACAATATTACAGTGGAGCATAAGAGGAATGAAAACTAATTTACCTGATCTACAAATTTTAATAAGTAAATACAAACCGCACATCATATGTCTCCAAGAAACCATAACAACTGAGGCAAAACAAATCATTTTAAAAATATATGCTTCATACTACAAAGCAGCCACTTCAACATAGACAAATCTATCAGCTGGAACAATAATTTATGTACATAACACAATCTTCTCACCATTTAAAAACCAACCGTCACTTTGTAGCTTCAAAAGTTACAATAAACAAATCATTCACGATATGTAACGGATATATAAGGCCAAACAGTCTAATGAAATCTGAAAAAATCAAACAGATTATTCAACAAATTCCTAAACATTTTCTTTCCGTCGGTGATTTTAATACACACAACCAGTTATGAGGATGTCAAAGCTCAAATACCCAGTGCAAAGAATTAGAATAAAGTATAATAAAAAAAAAACCTTTGTCTTATTAAACCAACTATTCCCACAATGTTCCATGAGCGCACAAATACACCATCCACAATTGACTTAGCTATGATATCCCGGCATTGTTTGAAGATATTGAAGGCAAGGCAGAGGAGGATCTCCATGGTAGTGATCATTTTCCAATAATTATAACAATCACAAATAAAGAAACAAATAATGAATGAAAGAGATTGAATTAAAAAAAACAGATTGGAAGAAATTTAAAGTTAATGACAAATTTGAAGATATTGATGATGAATCTATGGACAAATGGACAAAAAATAATAACAACAATTTTAAACAACACCGATCACTCAAAACAAGAAAGGCAAAATACTAAATTCTTGGTTTAGCAAAAATTGCAAAAGTGCAATCAAAATGAAACAAAAAAACGTTTAAAATATTCCTGAATAACCCTACACAAACAAATCTGACAAATTAAAAAAATTGAAAGCTGTAGTCGTAGAGTTGTGAAAAATGATAAGAAATCTAGTTGGGACTCATACATCAAAACCCTGACAGGAAATATTTCTTTTAAGAAAGTTTGGCAAATGATTAGAAAAATAAAAATAAAAATTGTTACGATAAAGCGAATTGTAAGATTGTTAACAAAATATATACGAAACGGATGAAGAAATAGCAAATGTGTTAGCAAACGACTTTCAGCAATATACCAAAAATCGAAACAAGATATTTGAAGATATTAAATCCACAGAAGAAAATGTACTTATAGATTTCAAAACAAGACCCCAAGAATTGTATAACAACTAGAGAAATGTTGCTCGAAATTAGCAAAAGTAAAGATTCATGGCCTAACTCTTTCCATTCTACTCAAAATTTACAACTACATATGATACAAGGCAAAAACTACCAAAAAGTATGGCATTGTGCAATAATAATCCCTATGAATGAACCAAACAAATCAAAATTACAACCAGACAACTACAGACCAGTATCTCTGACATGCTGCATATGCAAGATAATGGAAAAAATAATCAATAATAGATTAATTTTGTACTTCAAAAACAATAACATATATCCAATTCTCAATGTGAGGCATCGAAGGAAGATCAACACTAGACCACTTGATATCACTAGAAACTCCACAAGGCAAGCTTTGAATCTAGGAGATTAAGTTGTAAAAATATTTCTGGACGTAGAAAAAGTATGAAATTGTAAAAAAGCTATATGAATCAGGGTTAAAAAGACGTCTGCCAGAATTTATTTAGGCTTTTCTAACCAATCGAAAATTTGTTGTAAAAGTCAGAAATAATGTTTCCAGAATTAGGCATCCCTTAAGGAAGTATTCTGTCTACGAACCTTTTTTGCCTAAGCATTAACAATGTAACAAAAATATTTTCTAGAAATATGATATCTCTACATGGATCACACAACCATTTCGTTTAAAAATGAAGATATTAATAAAATAACCATTTTGTTTAACAAAAAAGGTATTAATAAAATGCAGACGAGCACTAAAAAATGGGATGATATTTTCAAAATCCAAAACAAGCAAAAAAAGCAATGCTATTTCAAAGAAAACGAAACAGGACAATTCCTGAACTGATTTTTCAAGAGAATCTTATAGAGTTTACATCCCAGTACAAACATCTAAAAATAATATTTGATTCAAAGCTAAATTTTTTACCTCATACACCGCAGACAAAAAAGATATGCCTGTGAAGGCTTTGAATTTTATTAAAATATGATCTCACAATACATGGGGTGCACATCAGAAACAGTTAACAACAACCTACTGAACAACCATAAGATCGATTTTAAACTATGGCGGCCTAGTGTATAGTGGCACCGGAAAATCATGTTTGAAAACCCTCGAACCAATAGTAAACGAAGCTTTAAGAAGATGCTTGGGAGCATTCAAAACATCTTCATCAACCAGCCGTCATATCTTAGCAGAAGAGATGCCGCTAAGCCTAACATCAAAGCCTAGCAATAAAGTTAAATCTCAAGCTGACATTCCTGCTTACAAATACATAATGAGGAAAAATCAATCAACAGAAGGAAAATCTATTTCCACAATTGCAACAAGACCAAAGAAATAGAGAAAATAAAAATTTTAAAAGAGAAAACGCACACAACTCCTCCATGGCTAATCTCTTGAGCAAGAGTAACCAAAAACTGGCAAAAATTTTGTTCAGAGAAAAAGTCGATAGTAATGAAAATTTTGTCAAAATATACACTGATAGCTCGTAAAAAGAAAATTCAACAACGGCAGCAGTGATATTTCACCAGCAACGACAATAAACCAACAGCCGCACTCAACATCTTTCAAGACACAGCTCAATCTTCACAGAAGAAATGATAGACATGGTAGACATCCTCCATATATGACTCAACAGGAAAAAAACTACAAGATTTTCACAGATTTGTTGTCAACCCTCTCAGCTCTGAAACAGTAAAACCTTCGACAACAATTAATTGTTCAGATGCAGCACAAAATTCACGATATACTAAGTGACAAAAATAATCTAACTTTAATCTGGATTCCTAGCCACATTGGGATTGAAGGTAACGAAAGAGTAGATCAATTAGCATCACAAGCTCACTTAAACCCTCTATCTATCATTCCAATACCATATTACGACATAAAAGAGAAGACAAACAACCTTACAAATGAAAAATGGCAAAAAGAATGGAACAAAATAACGAATTTTCTCAAAGTAGTTATGTCCGAATTAAATAAATATCAAAATATCAAAATCAATAAGTTAAATCGAAATAACTTAAACATGATAAATAGATTAAAAATCGGTCATTCAAAATAAACAAAACAAGATCTTCACTTTGTGAGAAATGCAATGCAAAACTAACAATCCAATACATATTAATAGAATGTCAAACATATTGAAAGCAGGAAAAAATACCAAATTTCCTGAAGATATACACTCAATTTTTAAAAATGAAAACCTAGTAAGTCTAATACAAGGGTGGGCAAACTACGGGACGCATACAGCGCGCGAAGCTATTTTATGCGGCCCGCGAGGCCCTGTCCGCCAAAAAAGGTCGTCCGTCAGACATGATGACCAAGAAAACCACAAATCTTAGAAAATTTTCCCCTGGGTCGAAAAAATTTGCTATTTAAGTACATCTTCAAAGGTTAAATAGTTCTCAATGCGGTCCTCACAGCAAAAAGTTTGTCCACTCCTAATATCACACATAATAATCATTTTCAACATCTAGTTGAGCCGTTTTTTAAAAGATTCACAACAAAGACCAAAGGCGTAAAGATAGCTTACCAGTGCTTAAACGCCGTAAAACTGCAAAAGAATTCACGAGCTAGCCTCGTTTTTGAAATGTTATAAAATATAAAGAAACGTGAAATCTGAAAGTGTGGTGTTTTTAACTATTTAACTCTGGCGATTAAATTTTCGACAACTCAAAAATTGGCAAACTTAATTAAATCAATAAATCAATAATTAAATTAATGAACAAAATTGTACGTAAACAATAAATTTTAACGACAAAATAAATTAATTTTAATAGAAAGAGGGTTTATTAAAAAGTTATGGACTGTCCATAAAGGATGTAACGCTTTGAGGTTGGGATGGGGTAAAAATTTGTAAAACTTTGCGACAAACAACGGAGTGAGGGCGTAAAAAATGATGTGACATCCCGTTTTCCACTTTTTCACTTCCATCATATGAATAAAAATTTGGTTGATAACATTTTGTTAAAATTTGTTCAATATGCATAAAAAAAATTTGCCTCATTCATGCTTCATTCTTATGTTAACTATACTATTGTTTTGTGCTTTTTATTTAAATTTTCTTGTTTGCTTTATAATCAATCAATCAATCAATCTTCGTTTTGCGTCCAGAGACCCGGTTCCCCGAGGTAGGACGTTTGCTTTATAACATGATTTTAAATAACATTTTTTGAACGTTTATATTCACTGAATGTGTTTATGCATTTTTTTATGGTATGAACCGGTAGTGTTTGATGGACAATACAGCAATTAACATGCCATACTTTGATTCAAAATCAAAACTATATTTCAGTCATTTTACTGATTTAAATATTTTGTTTATGTTTTTCATTCCATTCTATATGTCAAGTTTAGTTTAAAAAAAAATTATATTTTTATTCTAGTTACTTACAAAACAAATGGTCTTATTTATTTTGAGCTACATTTGAAACTTTTTTGTCTCATGGAACTTGTCTCTATGATTTACTACATTAAATATAATAACTATCTATCCACAAGATATGTTTCCTGCCACTTAACGTGTTCATCCTTAGACCTGCTCAAAGACTCATCTACTACAAACAAATACTTGAAAGTTTGTGATTTTATATGCTACTTTATATAGCTTCATGTTGGTCACTTCTATGTTATCTTATCAACACTGTAATGAATGATAACATTCAAATATATGTTGATCAATATGAAATAGAAGCAATAATTTTTATTTTCAGAAATGATTTCGACTATGCCGGGAGCCAATCATCCAGATATGTCTGCCTGTTTAGGTAATATTTTCATATTTGATTTTAGTTCAGCTGTTTATTTATAAAATTTCTCCACACTTCACTTTGCTGTGAAGTGTGGAAAAATTGCTCATTGCCGACTGAATGGAACTGTAGCATGACAGTTCCGCTATACAAAGGCAAAGGTGATTCATTGAACTGTTCATCATATCGGGGTATACCTCTGTTAGAACAATTCCTGAAAATTGTCGAGAAAATCATTGAGAGAAGATTAACGTCGTGCATCACAATCGGAAATTATCAATTTGGTTTCCTAGCGGGGAAATCAACAATTGATGCAATTCACATCCTTCGGCAACTGCAAGAGAAGTACCTTGCAAAGCATCAACAACTATCACACATTTTGTAGAACTTAAAAAAAATTTGATCGAGTTCCCCGTGAAGCAATCAGATGGAGTCTACGTCGACAACTCATTCCAGAATATCTTGTCCGACTTGTGATGGAAATGTATACGAATACTAAGACTCTTGTCAGCACAACGGTTGGAAACACAGATGCATTTGACATCGGCGTTGGAGTTCATCAAGGCTCGATTTTCAGTCCACTGTTATTTATAACTGTGATGGAAGAAATCACAAAACCGATACGCACTGGTGACATTTGGAATCTAGTATATGCTGATGATATCGTTTTAACAGCCACGTCTGAGCAGAATGCAGGACGGATGTTTGAAGATTGGAACACCAGACTCGCCGATCATGGATTCAAAGTCAACATCAACAAAGCCAAAGCAATGAACACTGGTGAACCCATTCAATCCACAGCTACTGGACGATGGCCCGATTTAGTTTTAACAATTCAATCAAGTGTTAGCAGTGTAACTTCACCGAACCGATATGAAAATGCTCCGATGTATGCAACGAATTAGTCTGGAGGACCACATCAAATCAACCGAAATCCTGCGTAGTTCAGGTTTAGATGATATAAAGGACGAATGCCGGCAACACCGTCTGTGGTGGTTTGGTCATGTCAAACAAAGTGGAAACAGTGCCATAACTTCTCTTGCAGATGTTGAAGTACCTGGCACACGTCCCAAATGCCGCCCAAAGAAGTCCTGGTCGCAAACAATCGAGCAAGACATGAAAGCTCTAAATTTAAATGAAATGGATACAACTGATCGTCTAATTTGGCGCAAAAAATTGATGGCAAAGAAAACAACGTCCTACCTTGGGGAACCGGGTCTCTGGTTGCTAAACGAAGATTGATTGATTGTTTGTTTATTAAAGCATTTTTTAAATTTATATGGACATTTATTGTGAAGAAAAATAAAGCACTGTGACTGTGCACTAAAAAACAAAATACATTGATATTACTAACTAAACTCTGTCACACCGTTTTTCAACGCACAAACAAACCGCTGTTATCAAATACCACTTCCATTGTCCGGCCCGCCCAAATAACCACGCACTTGTTGCAACATCTCCGCCAGCTTTTCCTCAATCTGCTGTTCAATATGCTATAATTGGACACACAATAATCCTTCCTGTAGTTACATCCACAACATTCGAAACTGCTATCAACACACCTACCGCTGTCCGCAACGCACTGTAACCCATTTACCAAACAATCAAAACCTCCCATCACATAACAATCAACATCTAATCATCAACACTGACAAACCCCACCTCCATCCCAAAACAACAATTTACCAAACATTTTCCAACTCAATATTAATGGCTTCCCTGGACAAACAATAGAACTCCAAGATTTTCTTCACAAACACAACATCCATATTGTTACTCTTCAAGAAACCAGATTAAGCAATAGGAAATCTCCAATTTTTTCACATCATACAATCATCAGACAAGACCGCACAAATCGTGGTGCTGACCTAGTCTTCATAGGTCATGACACCATACCATCAAACACTCAAACTGCCAGCAATTTCAACAAAATTTTCTCCCCCATTTAACCTCACCAATCCAATCAAGACGATCAACTTATAATTATCACATCAACCTATAACTCATGACATGAAAATAAATTAAAATTTTAAAGCCATTGGCTCCAACAACATCCACTTCGAACGCATTGGTCACTAGCATAACCATCAACACAGAAACTCAAATACCCATTATCAAAACCCTTTACCATGCAAATAACTTTTTTAAACATTCTTCCAACAAAATAATTATCAATAGAAACCATAATAACAATCACACAGATAACAACCACAATTATTCTCTTTACAACAACGACGACCTGTAACGAAGACAATTTGTTTTTTACTTTTTATCTCTCTTTACGTATCAAAAAAGGTCAAAGGTCAGTCTGTCTTTAGCGCTTGCTTCAGAAGTTTCAATAATAAACACTCACATCGCGTGATAACCAGGCATTACACACGTTGCATATGATAGGCGGGAATCTTTCCTGCATTCGAACCCACTCATTGCAACGGCGGCACCCGGCGCCTTTAATCATTACGCCATACACTGAAAACGACGCTAGGTCAAAAAAGCTTCCTGTATCCTAATTATTGTCAAATATGTATCCAAAACATCGGTTTGTTTTTTAAATCAACAAATTAAATGATTATTACAAAAGTATCATTCATTATCTCGAAAAGATATTTTACAAGAGGAATTAATTATGCGTATAAAGTGAACGAATCTACAAATTTTTGCTTTTATGATAAGTTTTGAAAAAGTAATGAATAATTATATCGTTTTGCTGTTATACATAATCTTATTATATTTTCAATTTTTAGAGTGCCTTGACAAGCTGCTGATTTATGTTGAACCCTTAATACATGACATCGTTAACATTGTAAGTTAATTTGTCTAAAATTGTTTTAAAAATTATCATTAAAAACAATTTTCAATATAATTCAAATCTTTTATAATGGTATTAGCTGTTTCATTTTTTCATTTGTATTATTGTCATGAATTTTGATATTTCAATTTGCTTTTCAAATGAAAAACGTTTCTAATTCAAATTTTTTCCGATTTATTGCATATCTCAGGTGAACACACAGAAACTAATTGAACTGCAAAGGGGTTTGGTTAACATTGAAGACCTCTTGCACGCAAAAAGGGTCTGCTAAATTTTTTACTAGAATGTTATTAATTGTTTCACAAAGTAAGCAGAAGATGAGTCTTAACTTATTACTATCAATAATCACAAATTCAATACTATTCACTGGCAACTTTGAGGTTTAATTTTAGCTTAAATTCTTTTTTGTTAAAACATATCTCATTTATTTCTAAACTTTGAAATATGTTTTTACTTAATAAGTACATTTATTTTACTTGCCGAAATGATTGACAGGCAAAGTAACGTTATTTAAAAATTATAGCAGAATAAATTACTACAAAAATGGATTTATAAGCAAATTCATAAGCTTTCGCTGTAATTTCAATGGGCGGCATTTAAGTCTCGACTTTTACTTCACCGTCATCCATGCGGGCCATACAATACAGTGCCATACAATCAAGTATTCCAATCCTGTTGACACACAGAAACGACATTGCTTTCAAACTCTCTTATCGTTGTGTTATCTAGTACACAGTTTTATTTAAGCTGTTTTTATAAATTAAATGATTATACTTTTTAACAGCTCTTTTTGAGAGAAGGATGTATGCAAAAGCATTCAAAGAAAGGAGGGCAGCAGAGGATGTTCTTCCTGGTACGTCAATGTTTTTCAATTGAGCCTATTTATTTTAGTAGACTTAGAATTATCTATCATTTCATTATGTTTTTTGAATATTGTAGAAGTGTAGAGCGCCTCTACTGAGCTATCTATCTATTCACACACAAAAAAAAACATGTACACTCCGCTCACTCTGGTTTTATATATATTTTACACCTGTGGTGATTTTCTGTTGGTGGTCATTACAGTGAGGTTTCATTTTTAAATGACGAATTTCACTATTTGTGTCCAAAAGTTATGGCTGTTTGGTAATCACTTCACCAGTTTAGGATGTTTGTTATTTAAATGTTTTCATTAGTTTTATTTATTGAATATTCATGTATGCTTTATTTATTTTATTTTATGTTTTTTATTTCATTCTATTTTATTTTGTTTCTCTTTGTATTTTTTTATAATTGTTTGTTTTGCGAGTTTTAGGTTGGGACCAATTGAATTTTTAAAAATTGGGCTATATAAATTTAATTGATTGATTGTTTGATTGATTGTTTGATTTATTGATTTTTATTAAAATAATTTGTTATGTTAAATTGTCGAATAATTTTTTAATTGCTGATGCTATAAATAATATGTTATTGAAATTTATTAGTATCTTGTTTTAATGACGCTTACCATGATATTTGTTAAACAAATTTTTAATAGTTTTCTGATAAGCTGGTATATGCAAGCAGATTGGCTGCTCCTCTACAATTTCGTGTCCATGGGCAGATGTCTCTTAATGGAATGATGGTCAGTTCTGTTTATTTAAAAATTGTCTGTTTAAGTTTTATGTTTAGAGCTGATGTTTGTATTCTTCAACATTAGGAGATTTTTTCATGTTTGTTTGTTTGGATCCATTTTGTGTGTGTGTGTGTGTGTGTGTGTGTGTGTGTGTGTATGTGTGTGTGTGTGTGTGTGTGTGTGTGTGTGTACGATAAATTGAAAAACTCAAATGCTGTGATTATATATATATATATATATATATATATATATATATATATATATATATATATATATATAATTTTCTCTTTTACTTGTTTTAATAATTATTTTACTTAAATACTAAATACTTCCAATGATTTGTTTAATGGCATATTGATTCTTTCGATTTGGTTCCAGGTAACATGTGACGATCCAAAAGTGGCTTCTATTCCTCACAGTTTTGTAATCTACACGCAAGACAATAAGTGCATTGTGGTCAGTACTGCTAATGATGTGGAAAAAGTTCGTTGGATTGAAGACTTGAAGAAAGCCATCGAAAACTATCAGTCTTATAATGCTAACGGTGATACCGTTGCATCCAGTAATGCATATTCTAGTTTGAAATCCAACAGTTAGTCGATATTTTGATGTTCTAGTATATTTTTCTGTTGAACGAACCAACAAATGTATAATAACTTAGGTTCGTCAGAGGCGTTAGATGAATCTGTGAACGACGACAACCGAAGTCCATCAATACAACACAATGTGATACAACATCGGGCAAACAACACCATGCATGTGTGCTGGCATAGAAACACAAGTGTCAGTTTGCAAGATCATTGTGTTGCTCTTGAGGTGTGATACATTTAAGTTATTTATTCTAACCATATATGTACTTGTTCATACTATAATACATATGTGAAAACTGTCGGTACATACGCTCATCCTTGTATGTATTTTTTATTCATTTGTTTATAGAATTATAAGTCTCAAATTAACCCCATCTTAATCAAAAAACGTTGAAAGTTTATGTATGAAAGAATAAATAAATAAATGAAAATAAAACAAAATAAATAAAGATAAAACGAAATAAATAAAGATAAAACGAAATAAAATGTAATGGAAGGTATAAGTTAAAGACGCATGGAATATTCACCCGTAATTTAGTGTTCGGTTTTGGCCATTTTTAAACGAAGATTATCTGTTTGGCTTCGGCCCTTTTAAATAGCTGTTCGGCTTCGGCCCTTTTTGAAAGCCGAATATTGCAACTATTTCATGATGAACTTGGATATTTCTATTTTCAACAAATTGAACAATTTCCAAAAAATTCTAGTAAAGAAAATTGAAAAGAGAAACTTTTAATTGATTAATGCCAACAGTTCGGTAAAATTCATACAAAGTTGTATAAAATATGGTCTACTTCCAACATACACACACACACACACACAATATATATATATATATAATTATTGATGATAATTACAGCATGCTTAAGCATGCTTAAATGTTTTATTATGCTTAAAATAAATAACATTTAGGTTTCGAACTCAAGAAACTTGACAATAATTTACGTTCTACGTTAAAAAAAATCGAAAAATTAAAGAGGAAGCTAAATAACGCGGAAAATGCTGTGATTTTCATCAATTTTATTTCTGACAGTCTTAATTCTTTTCTCTCTATATATATATATATTCTCTCTTTCTCTATCTCTCTCTCTCTCTCTCTCTCTCTCTCTCTCTCTATATATATATATATATATATATATGTATATATATAAATATATATATTTATATATATATATATATTTATTTATTTAGTCTATATATTAATTTGTATATATATATTTATATATGCATTTAATTATATTTATTTATATATTTTTATATTAGATATTTTTTAATATTTATATGAGTTAGGAATGGGACCGATCTAAGTAATTGAGATTTGTGGTATCTGATTATAAGCAATGGATTCGTTTTGATCCAAACCAAGCTCTATCTTAACTTAGAACATTGAGAAAAATCAACATTTTGGCACTTTAGGATTATAACGTAGTTAGAAAATAAATTATTTGATTTGGCTGTAGTTACAAACATAAGTTGAAAAACGTGATTCCAAAAATTTTATAAAATTTTTCTTTCCCATTTTTAGTTAAAAGTATTCAATTAAATTAATTTTTTATATTCGATTTTACTCAATAACTCAATTTTTTGCTTTATTCGGACCGTCGCATTCCTAATATGAGTGTACTACATGTGCAAGTGTTCAATGAAAGTATGTATGTGTTTGTGCACTTTAAAAATTAAATATTTATTTCTTGTGTAGAATCAGTTGAGCGGCTACTTACTCCGCAAGTTCAAAAACAGCAATGGGTGGCAAAAGTTGTGGGTCGTTTTCACAAATTTCTGTCTATTTTTCTACAAAAATTATCAAGTAGGTTTTTTTATTGAAGTTATCAAATTATTGTGAATGTGTCTAACATTCTTGATTGGTTTGTCATATTGTTAAAACCTTTTACTTATTTAAGAAGTTTCCAATTTTAATTTCTCACCAATAGGATGATTTTCCTCTGGCCAGCCTACCCTTGTTAAATTATATGATAAGTACTCCAAGTGAAAATGACAACATAAACAAAGATTTTGTTTTTAAACTTCAATTCAAGAACCACGTATATTTTTTTCGAGCAGAAAGTCATGTAACATTCAGCAGGTTATTTTATTGTCATGTTTTTTGTTTTCTGATAATTTTCATATTTTATATTTATTAATATCGTTCAAGCTGAATTTTTATACGTTGTTTTATATGCTTATTGATAAAAGCGTCTTTGCATATTTTTTCCACTCAATAACCATTTAGGGTTTGAGACCTGGTGATTATTTGACAGTAAATACTTTCGCCTTTAACTTTACCTCCTGCTTGCATTTTTTAAATTTCTGCTCTTTTGTCTACCTACTCTAGTATTTTCCCACATATTTTAAAAATGTTTTATTTACTATAATTCCAACTACTTATTTCATCCCGGTTTTTTCATTGCCAAAATTTATTTTTCTGCATAACCCTTATCATTTCCCCTAGCATTTGCTTATAAGTCCTCCTTTGGTCATTATAGATTTTCTTCAGATGTTGCCGAAATTTCACTATTATGCGCTAAAGACGCATTCAGAGTCATTTTTCTGAATATTTTCGTTTCAATTTTATGTCATCCTGGCAACGTTCTGTCCAATCAACCTTTTCTACAGATCCAAACAACATATCCACTCAATACATGCTGCAAACTTCAAAATGATTCCACTTCATCAAACTCATCACTCCAGAACGAGTACACTCCATCAGGTTCAATGCTGGTGCGTCTTTGGTGAATCTTAGTTTGCTTTTACAGTTAAAGGACCTAAGTCCTTATCACGCCTGGGTTTTTACACGGTTGAAAAACTTTACCCAAATTTGTTGCTTTATGCAGCTCAATGACAAATTATTTAACTCTAATAAAGTTTTCCGCCTAACCGTTTCAACATTTCATACATTACCAAATTTACTTACGACAAATCACACATGAATATTTATTCCTTACCAGGTAATTTGGTCATCTTCCTTTCATGTGATTATTATTATTATTATTATTATTATTATTATTATTATTATTATTACTACTACTATCAAAAATTTATACAAAGTAAAATATAAAATTCAAAAGCGCCATCAAGAAATAGAATAACAAAAATAAGTTATCATTATTTAAATAAACGAAACATGAATTATTTCACACTAAGCTATTTTGACGATTATATTTTGTTTATTACCAATACAGCAAAAATAATACTAACAAAGTGAATAATAGAAAATATATAGTATATATATATCTGCACTGGCATGTATGTGCTTCTTTGTAAATAGACGTATTGAAAATATTATTATCTCGTAAGCTAAAACAAATTGTTATCTCTGCTTTAAAACATTTTCAGGTGGATGGAAGTGATTGGTCAAGTTACTATTACAACCAGAGTTCTTTGTGATGCTGTAAAAGATTCATAATTGCTTATTCTGACAACTTATATTCAAACCATGGCTGGCTCTATTGACTGGCAAACGCATTCTGATGATGAAATAGTGAATAAACGTTTAACTTGTTATTTTATTCACCAAAAAATATTAAAAATTTTTGGATTAAATGGTTTGATGATCTTATACATTCTGCGCATTTGTTCACGGGATATGAATAATGTAATTTAATCATAATTTTGGTGAAAGTTTAGTGCAGCCATTGTCACCACTTGTGTGTTAACTATCTATCGTGTTTTTATTAAATTTTTCGTAACAGCAATAATTTTGAGTCATCTAACTTTCATTATTTAATTTTTACATAGTCAAACGACTCTTCTGGTTGTTGATTAGTTTTGTTGTTTTGTTACAAAACACTTTATATTTGTTTTGTTTTAATTTAGACTATTTGGTCCTTCAACATTTTTATTGTTTACTGCTGATTAATTTCTTGTAAACATTTGCTTATGATGCAAACCTATGCACGGCACGTGTTTCCGATTGTAAAACGAACTTTCTGCTTGTATGCGTTATTAAGTTGGCTTCTACTTGACTTGAATTCATCTTGCTCTCAATAATTCAATTATCCCGCCATTCTCTAAGTAGGTATATTACTTAAAATTGTGATTTTTGAGAGTTTTAAAGATTTTAACATGTTGAAAGAATCAATTAACGTTTGATTTTATTGATATCTTTTTGATTTATCAAAGTGCAAACATGACCACACATATCACTAAAAATAATGCGATGAATCAAAAGAATCAAACTAATTATTTGGCTTGAGTAGTAGAAAATGTGGGAAAACAAGTTGAATGCCTGTTAAATCTGTTCACAATGATCTTTACATCTTCTGTTAAGTTGGATGAGCCAACGAAATGCCAGAATGATTCTTGATATTAACAATTCTATGTTTCCTATTAAAAATGTCTCTAATGCTTTAATAAATCTTGCTCTCAAATTATTTTGCAAATGTTGTATGTACGGCTATTTAAATTTTTTTTTATAAATTTCCGGTCGGGAATGTAATGGGGGTTTATTTAATGATATAATTTACGTTTGCGCTTGAATTGTATAATTATCAGATTTTATATATATCGGTTCTATTGTTAATATTATATTACGGTAACATCATGGCTGGTTCGTTTATGAAATTAAGACTTATTTCGTATTTTTAATTATGATTTTATGCATTATAATTATAAAAAATTGTTTGTAAACAGCTAATGAACGAGTTTTATTGGCAATGAATTGTAGTATCAGCGGCTGTGCGGTAGTGTTGAATAATTGTAATAGCGGCAGTGGCTTTTTTATTATGTGCATTAATGTCAGCCTGAATCTGCGTTAGCTGACTATATCAATGACATCGTTGTCGGTTTGTGGTTAGTATCGGCCAAATAATCTTGTTTCAGACGGAGTTTGATAATTGTGAATTTTTAAACAGTAACTGTTTCATTATAATTATCAAAATTTAGGGTTTTAACTAAAAATACCGGCCAAGTTAAATGCATAGAACCTTGTGAGTAGGGCTGTACCGAATTTCACTTTCACAAATTCTGTCGGATCTAATCTGAATGGATTTAATAAACAAGTCTGACCGGAACCGGATTTGTTACATTTCATGTTGTAACTTATTAGCTTACGTACACTAGTCCCAAACCCAGCATAAAATTTCGGTATATTACACATCCATAGCAATAGCTCAACAAGAATAAATTAACTTGAATGTAATACAAATTCAGCTTATTTTTGTACCTCTTTATCGATTTCAGTAAACACTGTCATATTCAAACGAACACATTTAAAACCATATACTATTAAAACGTATCATTATTATCATTAGAAATTTTATAAGGCGCTTTTATCAACATCTCAAAACCGCTTCTTAATTTAAGCCAATTTTTGATATTCAACCACAGTTAATTAAAACAAAGTCAGAAATGCAACTAAGGAGGTTCATACGATTTTATGAAAATGTTATATTCAAATAAAACATTGAGGTTCATACAATATTATGACAGTGTCGTATTCAAATAAAACGTAGAGGTTCATACAATTTTATGAAACTGACATATATAAATAAAGCATCAATATTCAGCCACAGTTAAATTAGAACAAGCGGCCAAGAAGGTTCATACAATTTTATGGTGTCATATATATATAAAGCATTGATAATTTAAAACAATGATATTCAACCACATTTAATTAAATCAAAGTTGAACCCGTAACTAAGGAGGTTCATACAATTTTATGAAAGGTAGTGAAGAATATTTAAATAAAACATCGAGGTTCACACAATTTTATGAGTGTCATATTCAAATAAAATATTGATATTCAACCACAGTTAATAAAAACAAAGTCGAAGAGGCAACTAAGGAGCTTCATACAGTTTCATGAAAGTGTCATATATAAATAAAACATTGAGTTTAATGGTTAATGCAATTTTCTGAAAGTAATAAATAAAGCATTGATATTCAACCACAGCTAATAAAAACAAAGTCAACTAAGGAGGTTCATACAATTTTATGAAATGTTTTAAAGCATTTTTAAACCGAACAAAACTAACGATATCTTTTATCGAAGCAGTTAAAAATTCATCCCAGATTTTAGGTTCATTAAAAAAATACTTAACTGAATTAACGTTAACGGTAACCACATGGCAAAGGTAAAAAAGTGTTATGCTGTCTTGTAGCTTATAAACATCAGATTTTTTAAATTGAATACATTTTTGAAAAAAAGATGGTAATAAATTGTGATCAAACTTGAAAATAAATAGAGATGGGATATAAATGTTCAACTGATAAATAGTTAAGATATTAGTTAAATGAAATAAATGATCAACATGAGATTTGAAGTGTAAGTTATAAAATATTTTTAAAACATTTATGCATATTATATATATGATTAATAAAGTAAGTGAAATTGTTGCCATAGATTGTGTTACAATTAGATAAATGTGGTAGGAAGAAACTATTATACAGAATAAGCAAGTATTTGTTTTATTGAATTTATACTTAATTTTATTAAAAATATAAAGAAAATTTTCAGTTTTATTTGCTTCTTTAATAACATGTTCATACATATTTAAATTACTCTGTAAGAATGCTGTCCAGAAATTTAATAGAGTGAATCTTTTAATAGAACAGTTATCTAATTGAATATGTAAATCCGGGTAGATATTAGATTATGAACTCTATAATTTCATTATGAAGTTCAAATTGAATAAGCACATCTATCAATATTAATTATCAGCTTATTAATACTTTAATAGAAAACCAATGTTCAATTTTAGATAATTCATAATTATCACGTACAACATTAGAAGAAGAATAAAAAATATTAGTATCATCAGCATACGACAAAATATCGATAAAATATTAGACTTATCAATAACAAAAATTATAAATAATAATGGTCCCAGAATGGATCCCTGAGCTTCTGCGCGTTTGAGAAAGAGAAAGCTGTTGAGTTGCAGTTATCAAGTGAAATATACTGACTTCTATTTTGTAAGTAACTCATGAGCCAGGAATGAACATTATTTCATAATCCAAAATGAAACATTTTATTTAGAAGTAATTAATGGTTGATCACATCAAAAGCTTTTGACAAATCAACAAACAAAATAACCAGCTTTAGGTTTATTCATTCAAATTGAGTAAGACACGTTGTGTGAGCAGATAAAATGTTATATTTATTAAGAAATGAAATCATTCTACAACTGATTATTTTTTCAAA